TCCATGAAGATCCACTAATGGAGCGTTCACCGGAGGCTGAATTACAGAGGAACCCTGGGCTGTCCTCGCCATAACCAATGCACCCATTCCCCCCCCCCGCGCTGCCCCAGGGAAAGCTGAACCCATTTTATCTAAAGTAACCCATGGTTATTTTGCTTTTCAGTTTCGTTGTTGTTGTAGCGGAAAATTCATTGCTGCTGCATTGCTGTTCTTTTATTCTTTTCAGTTTAGCGAGTCTCTTGATTTCCATTTCATCTAAAAAGACAGGGACGCATGGTTCCCATTGACTCCAGCTGGATTAGCACAGGGCTGTAGTGCCAGGAGCTGTAACACCGCAGCTGGATGCTGCTGGCTTAGCCATCCCTCCCAACGCGGTCCGGATCAGGCATAAAAATTAGCCCGTGCGCCGCCCAGCGTTGTGCTCTCATGCCAGCTGCAGGGAGGCAGACAGCATCTGATATGGCGTAAAGCCCATCCATACCAAGCTAGCAATTTTGGAACCCATCAGACACAACGGGGCGAGTTTTTACCGGATCAGCACTTTGCAGCTTGTGGCTCAGGTCCTGAGTGTGGAATTATTGCCCTGGGAAACCACAGTGCAGCTCCCCCAGGGGCTCTGACGCTGCCTCCGCCACGGGATGGGTTTTCTGCACCCAGGTGATGGCTGCCTCTGGCTTACGTTCTGCTTAAGGAATATTAATTTTCTGACTTTCTTCAGGTACGAGGCTGTTCCTGCGGGCAGCAGGGTGCCGGCTCTGAAGGACGTGGCCGTGGTGAAGCCCAGGCTGCAGCGGGTGAGCCCCCGCGGGCGGCTCCGTGTGGGGCCAGGGAGCATCCGCAGGCACGGGCAGCGCTCGGAGCAGCCGGCCCCAACCTCTCCTCCCCACCCGCAGGTCGCCGAGGAGCTCTCTCAGTGCTCCCACAACATCTTTGACTTTCAAGGGGCTCTGGATGGCATTTTGTCCGATCTGGTGAAGCACAGGCAACAAGTCCATGAAGACAAAAGGTCTGTAGTGCCAGCCTTACTGAAATCCCCGCCAACCCTTTGCCGGGCTCAGCTGGATCGAGCAGACGTCGCCGTGTGCTCCCCGGCAGCCGTGCACAGCCCCTCCCTGCAAACAGCATTTCACAGCCCCGTGCACGCACACGCACTATCGCGTGGTGTCCCCATGTACAGACACGGGTAGCAGCAGTGTCCCCTAGTCGCAACGTGTTCAGGTTTCACCCCAAAGTGCTAATTTCACCCCAACTTCATACCCCTCTTCTTGCGGGGCCTCACGCCTCCTTCCTTGTCCCGGTTTCAGCATCCGGCAGATCGAGTGCTGCCTGGAGAAGATGCAGCTGATCTACAAGCAGTTCAAGAAGGCCAGGACCTGTCTGCGTAAGTGGCGGGGACGGTGGCGCCGGGGGCACGAGGTGCAGGGCTGCAGCAGGGATGTCCCTGTGCTGGCCCAGTGGCAAAATGAATTTTATTTCAGTTTGCTGGGTTTAGCAGTTATTTCTGTGCCATGACAGTAGTCCCAGGGGCTGCAGCCTTGAAAAGCCCCTTGAGTGATGTTTGGGTGTGGTGGAATTGCCCATTTATTAGGTTACGAACAGGAAAACGTGTGGTGACCAGTGTCTTTCCTCCCCAGGGCTGGGCTACAATGAGGAACAAATACACAAGCTGGATAAGTAAGTCCCAAGCCTCTCCCCTTGCCAGGACCTGCCCCATGCTGCGGCCGGGCAGGTATTTGGTGTCTCTGATCAAACCCTAAGGGGATGGAAAATGTTCCTGGGTCACTAACGTTGAAAGAGGGCACCTCTAAGTGGCTTCTGTGATGGTTCATTGATGCAGGACCTTTCACAGCAAAGTTTTCAAGCTAGAAGCTATTTCAGGTGAAGGTGTGGGAGGACCTCTGCGAGCTGGGGACAGGGAGCTGCTGCTGGGCCAAATCCCTGCGTTGGACTGTGGGGATAGCACGTTTCGGGCTGTTGCTCACCCATCACTTGGCTTGTGGCCACTTGTTTGCTGAGATGCTGATTTAGGAAGTGTCCGTGCTTTCATGTCTGCTTAACTTGCAGTGGGAGTGAAGAGTCTGATGGCTTTTGTACCTTTAAAAATCCTCCTTTCAGTTTCCACTGAAACTGGGGGAATTTAACACGGGCAAGAAATAAAAGGCACACTTCAATATGGAATCACAGAATCGTTGAGGTTGGAAAAGCCCTTTAAGCTCCCCCAGTCCAACCGTTCCCCTACCCCTGCCATCCCACCACTAAACCCTGGCCCTAAGCACCGCATCTGCCTGGCTTTTAAATCCCCCCAGGGATGGGGACTCGACCCCTTCCCTGGGCAGCCCCTTCCAGTGCTTGACAGCCCTTGCGGGGAAGGAATTTTTCCAGGGATGGTGAAATTTAACAGGCAGCTCCTTTATCTTAATTAATCTTCAGCCTAACCTTGGAGATTTGCCTTGGACTCCAAGGCAAAGACTTCTCAAAAGTGCCCTGGGGGGGATGGCTGTGCCACTGGGCATCCCCACCTGGATCCCCCTGGCCCCCCAAACCTCCCTCTCCTCTTCATCAAAATTAGGTTTTGTTTTCTCCATAACACTGAGATTCATTACTGAGCATCCAGTCCCTCTTTCTCCCTTCAGGAGCCAGCTTTAGGTCTCCTGCCATGTGAATGGTGATGTTCATTTTCAATACGTTTAAGGAAATAACAGTGTTCTCGCCTTTTTTTTTTTTTTTCTGTTTTTAGGGTGAATTTAGGGCATCTGGCCAGGAAGGTCCTGTTGATTTTCCAGGAGGACTGTGTCCAGCGGTACCAGGAGGCCCTGACGCTCCATGGCAGCAGGATGAGGTACCAGCCCCTACCCAGCCTCTCCCGGGGTTTTGGGGCTTCGCTGTCAGACCCCAGTGGGGATGGGAGGGGGGACTTTCCAGTAACCCTCCAATGACTGGGGCTGCTTCTCTGCTATTGATCGAGTATTGGGATGCGGATGGAGATGCTGATGTTGGTAACTGCTGCTGAGAGACTCGAAAAGGGGCAATAAGACCTTAGAGCAGCAGCTCTGTGTGACTGCTGGAAATCCTGCTGGGTGTGCTGGTTCTTATGCAGTGCCATGCATTTCTGCCCTGTTGTTTCAATTTTTTTTTTTTTTTTTTTTTTAAAAAAAAAGCCCCCTAAACTTGCAGCTTGCATTCAAGCAGCCTGTTTCCCCACGCTCTGATGAGGAGAGGTTATTTTATCAGGACAAAATTACTATTGAAACAAAGAGATCTACTTATTAGGCATGATTTTCTGCTAAATGGTGGTTGGGGACTAATGCAAAGAGCAAATTACCTTGCCGTGATTGAGCACAATCCACTGCCTCTCACAGCAGCAAAGAGCGGGGGTGAGGGGGAGGCAGCTGGAGGAAGAGGTTGCAGAGATTGGATTTTTATGGCAAGGTTGCTTTCAGAGAGCAGCATCCATTCGCCTGGGCTGCCAGTGGAATGGAAGGAGAATGATTTTTCTACAATGCCTTGGAATGAAACCTGGCGTTTGACCTGGTCCGTATTTCTGATGGGGAGTTGCCCTGCATAGGAGTTACCATGCGGGGGGGGTTTAGGCTAGAAGTTTGTCTTGGGTGCTCACGAATCCCCCAGGAGCAGCGGGCTGTCCCTGTCCCATTTCCAGCCTCAGCTTGTGCAACCAGGGGTTTCCACGCTGCAGACCCTCGCCCACGGGCAGGTTTCCCTTTGGGGGCAGAAGCTGTTGCCCACAGCCGCCTCCCGCCACATCCCATCGCGGGGCAGTGAAATCTGCCCTTGGCTTCCGCGGGAATTTTGTCTCGGGGTGAGATTCCTCTCTGGGTGTAGAGCCCTACAAAATCCATGCCGTGCAGGAGCCCCGTCTGCACTAAAGCGGGGCTTTTACCTTTGCTCAAGGGAGGAAAAAAAGCTTCTTTGTGTTTTTCTGGAGTATTTTTGTATCTGTTTTTCTGTCCTTAGGGAGAAGGCATCGTGAGTCACAACTGGATATTTTTAATTTATTGTTACTTCAGTTTTAATTGCCCTGTTTTGAGTTTCTTCCTGCTAGCAGCCAGGGTTTGTGGTGTGGTGGCTGTTTTTCTGGGGACTGGAGGTGGGCTGGTCACCTTAAATATTCTTTCTTTCTTTTTTTTTTTTTTTTTTAAAGAACCCAACCTTTTTTTTTTTTTTTTTTTATAAAACCACCGGCCGCCCGCCGG